TAACCACTAGCAGCAGCTGGGAAGGGGTTGTGTACAAAAGAGGAGTGGATTTAGGCAGGAAGATGGGGTTAAACAAATGTTTTCATCCATTCTTTCTCCCTGTCCATTCTACCTGCCTGAGGTGTGGGAGAATTCCAGAAGTTACCTGGTTGCCATCTGGGGTGGGAAACACAGAAAAAACCTGGAAGCCAGGGTCTGCCCCCCACACCCTGGGTGAGGGAGGGGGAGAGGTTATAGGTGGGTGTGGTAGGGGGCACTCAAAGGCTGGACCATGCTGTCCAGTTGGGGCCTGGTAGGCAGGGGAACTTGTCAGCTCCCACTCTAGGACCCCCAGGATGGAGATCCCCCAGGAGCCCGTGGAGGGCCAGACATCTTCACAGGATAGCCCAGGGCCCTCCCCGCCATCACAGCATCTCAGATGACATCTTGGCTACAGAGGAGAAGAGAAAACCCTCCAAAGATGCAGAATTTGCCCATATGAGACTGATCATTAATAGTAATCCGAGTGACTGACCACTAATGAACACTCCTGAAGCCTTCCTCTCCCCCTGGCATGGAAGAGCTAGGCCAGGAGAGTCAAACGGCAACTAAAGAAAATAAAGGCCACTGTGTTTGCCCCATCAGGGTGAAGTGAATGTGACTGCAGGTGGCAGCTGGCGGGGCTGGCTCTGGCCCTGTCCTCACCTGCTGCCCCCGCCTAAGGATCTTCCAGCCCTTCCTGAGAGGTCTCACCCCAGGGCTCAGGGCCAGGGACCTGAGGATAGGGGCATTGCCAGCCAGAGAGGCAGGGCGGAGCTGGGAGAGGCCAGAGAAGCACATCAGCCACCTGGGGAGGAGGGAGGTGTGGGCACCGGTGTGGCTGGAGGCCCCTGCCCCATCAGAACATGAGCTAGGGTAGCAGAGAGGAGGGGAGGCCGGCTCCTTCCTGAGACACCAACTTCAGGCCAGCCTCAGACTTAGCTGATAAGATTTGAGGGGCCAGAGCTACCCCCTCAGTCTACCCCCAAACCATTTTCCAACAAAGCCCTCTTGCTGAGACAAAGGACTGAAGAATACAAGAGCCTGTAAGAATATTCAGGCAAAGGGTGAGTTGGGAAGCGGACAGGGAGTATCCCCAGGGTGGACTGGGGCCTGGACAGGTGCTGGACCCAATGAAGACTGGGTCCTAAGCATCTGGACCTCCTCCACGGACAGCCCAGAGCCCAGTGTGACTGCCAATAAGACCACAGCCAGGGCACCCTCTGGACACAGTGGTCTTCAAAGCTCTCAGGCCCTGGGCCCTCTGGCTGATTGTCCAGGAGACCCCTGACTCTGCTCGCCACAGGCCCCGACAGGCCCCACGGCCCGTGGTCACCTCTTTGCTCTAGACCATGTCAACACACACATAGGCATACTCACAGACACACAGACACATGCCAAGATGACCAGCACTCAGGATAAGGGGGCTCACTCAGAGTCAGGCCTCCCCCTTGCAATCTTGGTCATTTCATTATTAGAGTCTCAGGGGTGTGAAAATAGAAAATAGCCTCCATTTCCGGCATCTCTCAGTGCTGGCACAGACCCTGCCTATTGTTTCACAGCCTAGAAATGGACTTTTGCCACCATCATTGTCATCACCATCACCACCATGGGGTCAGAGAGATAAACCAGATAGATGGGGGAGGGCCCTGGTCAGGAGCTGCAAGGATCAGGCCCTAGCAGAGACACTCAGGAGGATACAGATCAAAGTTGGGAAAGGAAGATATGAACAATGACCAAAGCTCAGCTTTATCCCATCTGCGCAGAAAGATGCTTTATGAATCAAAACAGCGGAGGACGGGTGAGCTGTGCCCACATAGGACCAAGGGTACCTACTTTCAACTCAAGGGCTATAAGGGTCTCAGAGTAGCAGAGACCAATGCTACTGCAGCGGTAGAGACAGCTGTCCGAAGGAGGTGGCATGGAGCAGAGTCCCCAGGGCAGGTTAGGACTTCCACAGAGAGCTGTGGCATCAGCCAACTCAATTTTGATTTTTCACTCTGACACTTCCTGGCTATGTGACCCTAGGAAAGACACCTAACCTCTCTGATCTTCAGTAGCCTGATTTGTAAAATGCCAACGCCTCCCTCATGGGATGCAGAGAGGAGGTAGAACAGTAGTAAGCAAGCAGCTGGTAGCACCAGGGAAGGGTAAACAAAGGCAAAGGAGCTTAAATGCGGACAGTGTGTGCATAAATGCAGGGGCCAGAGGACACGGGGAGCGGACGGCTGGGAACGACCCAGAGGGTCAGGCCCCAGAAAACTGAGATTCCTGAGGGTGTGACTGGAGGGGGCCCCATCTCTGATGAAGCTACAGCCGTAGAGTTGGCGGCCCTGCCAAACAAGTTGTCAGACAGCCCTTGAGAGTTTTCTTCTCACTGGTCCTGACTGACGGAAATCAGCAGGCCGGCCATGCAGGCCGAGCAGCGCAACCGACAAGGCCCTGGGGACAGCTTAAGTGGACAATAATTGCAGGTTATTATATACCGGGCTGCAGCCAAAAGCCAGGCGGCTGTTCAGTGTGATTGGGAGAAATAATCAGGAGAAGGAGGAAGGATGAGCAAAGCGAGCCGCTCGCCCTCCTCTCGAGGCCGCTCTGAGATCGGGGCTGTAGGAAGGCAGGATGGGGTGGGCGGGGCCAGGTAGATGACTATAAGCACCCTACACTCTGGGAAGCAATTCCGTTGCTCCTTGCTGCTGATTCTGCCTGCTTCCCACCCTTTGTGCAAAGCAAGGATTACAGTCCCCATCCCATAATTCAGAGAATAACACCCAGCGAGGGGAAGCACGTGGCCCAATGAGAAAATGAGTCTTGCCCGAGTTCCACCAGAGCCAGAATTGAGGCTCCCTGTTATCTGACGGCCACAGAAGTGACTCCTGGCATTAAGGCCATCCAGGCTCTGTGCTGCCCTCAGTGGGGTGGCATCATCTCAGAACTGGGACTGGGAACACGCATTAAGACTCAGTGGATCTTTCCGTGTGGATCTCAGGCAGGACAAGAGCAAGGAACTGGGATATACAGAGGAGGCAGGCTTATAACAATATGATTGATTATTTCTTAGAGCTATATATATTCATTAGATCGTTCTCTGGCATACAGGGAGAAATGTATGTCCATTTTCTAGATGAGGAAACCAAAAGCGATCACATGACTTGTCCCAGGTGGGGCAGTGATGCGGTCAAGGGCAGGGCTGGTGCAACAATGCTGGTCTGGGAGCTTGCAGACCACACTCTGGATTTGTCTACTGGCGAAGACCTTGGCAGAGGTTACCTTACTCCATCCTCTGCCACCAGGCTAGGAAGACTTTATCCAGGAGGACCTCATCGTGCTGGTCAGAGTTTCCAATTTCATCAGTTCCAGAAGTAGTTCTTTGTTTCCAGGCCAAGGATGACATGAAGTTGCCCTGGTATGATGTGTGGACCACATGTTCCCAACTTCCCACCTCCCACCCCTCCATTCCTCCAAGCCCACAACTCAGTGTGGATCCAAGAAGAAGGCACCTTCCTCCTTGAAACACAAACACCACGAACAGCTTCAAGGAGACGCCCGGAGACCAAACACTGCCTTCCTTATTTCCTGCAGTAGCTTTCGTACAGATAGCCCTACCCTGATGGGGACACCAAAGTGTGGTGGTGGGCAATGGACCAAGCCCCAGCTCCTGCAAACACAGCACCTCAGCAGACATCCAGAAAAGTCTGCACTGGCTCAGGACCACCCGCAGGTTCTGACGACCCATCCTTCCCGCCACAGACCGCCTCTCCCCAGCCAGGCCCCTTCAACCAGCCCTCCCCAACACCCCCTCCACCCTCCACCCCCCTGGTCTGGAAATGACCCTGCTTTGGGCCACAGGAGAGCAGGAACCTCAGGCGGGGAGGGATCAATTACACTGTGACTCAGCTACAAGGCACAGAGCCAGGGAGTGAGTCACAGAGGCTGCCCACCTCCTCCTTCCCAGGGAGGGGGTCGGTCATGCAGGTCTGCAGGGGAGCCTCCCGGGGTCTGCACACAGATGTGTGGGTGCAGGCTCCCAGGCAGCGGGGGGTGCTAGGTGTGCTACAGTGTGGGCCCTTCCCAAGCCTAAATGAGGTGAGCATCACTGAACTGCTGGGTAAGGAGAAACCCATGGGGCCCCTCCCTGACATGGGCTCTGCTCCCCCAGACACCTTCACAATACTACACCCACAACCAGATGCTTATTCACTTCTGTCTCCCCAACACACTGGGAGGACCATTGATGAGAAACCCCAACTGTCCTCTTCCTCAGGAAATACCCATGTCCTGTTACACGCGGTCTAAATGCTACTTCCAGGCACAGTTTATATTTGTCCCTGGAAAGGAGAGCCTTAGTTTACTTTTTAATAAATCCACTCACAACAATCACAGCTCACTTTTAACAGCAGTGTGGCAGACACGATATATTTATTACCTTTTAGGGCATAAAGCTTGCCTCTTTATGACAATCATATGCAATTTTATCATGCCCATATTTCAGATGAGGAAACTGAGGCTGAAAGCAGGACTTCCGTAGCTGGTAAGTTAAAGACCTGATTCCAAAGTTCAGACTCTTTCTATATACAATGCATGCACTATGCATATATGTCTCTATAGTCAAAGTCATATGCATATTTTAAAGCAATAAATTCCCAGTTGTATTTATAGACTGTGTTTCTTTAAATTTTACTCTGCAGAAGATTTATATGAATGTGTCTGCTTAGTGAGAGAGCAGAATTTACATATACAACTTTGCTTAAACACTTTGAAAGACTTTAAACTTATTAAAAGAAGGTTGCCATCTGGAAATTATTTGCTGGGAGGAGGATGGTTCTTAAAAACCTACAGCACCTTCTTTAAATATTCCTAGTGGTAGCGCTTTATGTAGAAATGACCTGTGGGACATGGGCCCAGTAAAGTGTCCGTCCCACTCAGCACATGTCTGGGGCTGGAGGTAAGGGGTGATTTCTTCCTTCTCCATAAATACCCAGTCTTTACCTTCTTTGTCCCGGTCTTGTGCCATTGATAATACGCTTCTGTGTTAACAGATGGTCAGAGAGTTCCTACCCCGAGTCTTTCCTGTGGGCTCAGCCCGCTGCAAACCCCTACCCCATGGCCACCTGCCACCCCGGAGCACAAGCCCACATCCTGCCCTGGCCTTCACTGTGCCATGGGCCCTCTCCACCCGCAGCCTGTCTCTGCTTCACTCTCCCCAGACCACACAGCCGCAGATTCCTTGTCAAGCTCTTGTCAGCCCTCAGCTGCTGGGTGAGGCCTCAGGAGGGGTCCACACAGATGGGTGATTCTGAATCCCCTGGAAAACAACCCTGTGAAGAACCAGCCTGATGCAAATGTCCTGCTAGTTCACCTTCCCCAGCCCCCTTCCAGTTGGGATCTCCTCCAGCCACCTCACTCCAGGTCAGCAGCACAGGTCCACTGCCAGCGGATGCTGGGTTTCTTAACCCCCAAAACTATGTGAAGGGTGCCGTGCCAGCCCAGGAGCCTGGCAGCAGTAGGGCAAATTCAGATGAGAGAGCACGGATAGAAGCTATACATCCAGCAACTTTATCAGAGAAATCACAGCCCTGAGACAGTGACATGTATGCACAGCGCTGGGTGTGTAATAAACACAAGTCACTATTCCAGCTTCTAAAGTGAGCCCAGTGTCTGAAAACCTCAGGGCTCATGTACAATAAATTAACATAATTAAAAACTAATTAGTAAAACATCACAATTAAAAGGACTTGCTGCAGCAACACCTCACAGGTAAGAAGGGGCCGCGGAGTGCCAGCAGCCGGTACCCAGGGCAGGCCCCAGGTAGAGGTGCTGATGATGCCTCGCTCACCCTAAAGGATGCCCGCTCCCAGGAGCACCTTGAACAACAAGCAGGCAGCAAGTGAGGGCACCCACTGCGGGTCCCACTCAGGCCCCAGCTGGAGGGGGCACACCTCCTCCTCTGCAGGATGTGGAGGGGCCTGGGCCAGCCCCTCAGGGCCCTCCTCGCTCCCCACCCACAGCCTATAGTGATGCTCTGATAATACTGGCTGATCAGACATTGATCTAAGCACTTCCCCTGCATCTACTCATTTACCCCTCATCACCACTTAATGAGGAAGTTTCTATTCCTCTTCCTATTTCACACATAAGAAAACAGAGCCACAAAGAGACTAAAGAACCTGTCCAAGGTCCCAGAGTTAGTAAATGGGAGAGGCAGGACTTGAAGCCAATTTCACCTAAATGCAGTCGTAAATACCTGCTCCTGGTGGACTGAGTGCTGGCTCCTTTCTAAGAAAAAAAATTAAGTGTTTAGAAAAGATAAAAGAGTAAACTCCCAACCCTTCAGTTCAAATAAGATAACTTTCTCTACACCTTTCTGTCACCCATTTTGACCCTCAATTTCTATTCTTACCGTAACAGTTTTTACATGAGAACCATAAGTCAGCCTCCCGGGTTCTGTCTCCCCTTCTTGGATGTGATGTGAGGAAGGAAAGGAGGGTGGCAGAAAGGACCCCAGCCTCCATGTTACAGAGGAGGAAGCTGAGACCCAGGAAAGGCATGACTAGGTCCCTCCCACTGACTTCAGGCTGGCCCAGCCCCAACTTGGGATGCAGGAAGCAGGATTCCAGAGACAGCATCTCCAGGTCTGTCTGTCCTGCCCTTCCATTTCCTGCCCGCTCTCAGTGAAAGTGAGGCAAAGCCTGGATCGGCATGAAAGCCTGGAACGGGAACCTGGACGGCATAACCATGCTGACCCAAAGGCAGGAGACTCTCCATGGCATTCCCCACCCTGCGCAGGCTGAGGGGCTCCCACAAGACCAAGGCCACGTGTCCCGAGGGGCTCAACCAGCCAGGAGAGAAGCCCAGAGGCCCCGGCCTTATCAGCCCTCCCACTCACCTGAGCTCCAGGAAGCAGCCAGTCCCTTCTGGGGAGTCCCTGGGTTACCCCAAACACACAGGCGACCACCTCCAATTCTCTTCCTCCCTCCAGGGGTTCACTCCCCTGGCCAGGCCTGCTGAGGGCTCCGGACAGGAGAGGGGAGCCCTTCGACCGACACTCTGGGTGGCAGGAGGCTGCTAATTAACTGAGAAAAGGCAGATGCTGTTTTCCTCTTTTTTCCCACCTCAATTATTGTTCCTTATACCACGCACCCTCCCAAATTATTCAAGGACAGAGCCCCTGGGCTTATGAGGAATACAGAAAAACAGACTTCCAAAGCTGCCTTAAGCCTCATCTTGCCCACCCTACCTACCTCAACACAAGAGCCTCACCTCTTCGGCATCCCACAGAGCCCAGAGCCCCGAGCCCCTTGTCACTTCCAGGCCCGGCAGCTCCACCCACTGCCTCAACCTCTCTCATCTCTTCCCAAGTGGACCCACCACTTCCTGCAGGGCCAGATCGGAGCTCACCCCACCAGTTAGCCAACCTTGGGTGCCACTGCCCACAGCAGCGCCGCCTTCTCCAGGATCCCACGGCACAACTCTCCCGCACCTTTCCCTCTGGCCCCCGACTGGGTCTTGCCCTTATGTGGTCACCGGGCTCTCTGAATCAGTCTCTTGGCCCAAATATCGAGCAATTGAGCCTCTCTCTCTCTCCAACCTCCCCTCACTGCCCTCTGCAGGGCTGGGCAAGCAGTTCACTCCAGAAGGACTTTAACTGGAGGTGTGGTCCCTGCTGGGGGAGCCCCATCAGGTCGAAGCTCTGTTTGCATCTGGCTCTCAACAAAATCTTCGAGAACAGACACTTCTTGCCCTCCTAGCCCTCAGGCCAGGCCATCAGCCAGCTCTCTGGCCATCTACCCTTCCATATCCTGCCTTCCCAAGGGCTCATTTTCTCTCAAGGCTGCTACCCCCAACACAGATCACCACACACAGCTCGGGATCATCTTCCTGTTTTCTCACGTGTGGATGTGGAACTCCGCAGCCCGGAAGACATTTAACCATCTGTTGCCGTTTGCTGTTCTGGGGCTTTTCACTTGGGATGACTTTGGTCTTTCTAACAAGACAGCTGGGTCTTCCCAGGTCTGTCATTTCTCTGCTGCTGCTAGGGGAGAAGAGGACGGGCTGGATCGATGCAAGAATGACTGAGTGGGTGCCACTAAGCCAAGTTTCTGTGCATGTTCTACCTTGCTTGTGTCTCACCCTGGACTTTGAACTTCTTCTGGGAGACAGTTTGCCCAAGGTCTTCCAGCCCCCCATCCTTAGAGTCTATTTGAATGAACACAGCCTTGCCCCCAAGGGATCTAGAAACTCCACCCTAGCACCTGCTGCGTGCCCTTGCCTATCCTGACGGCTTGGTTCCCGCCCTCTGCCAGGTCCCAGTCTCAACTGAGAAAGAAGACTCGCAGGCAGGAGAGCCTGTGCAGGTCTGAGGGTGTGTGGTCATGGCCAGAGCTGCAAACGTGGTTCCGTGGGTACCAGAGCGGGGGGAGTAATGTGCCCCAGCTGGACGGGAGCTGAGCACAATGAGGCCCTCTTCCCTTCTCGAGGAGGAGGGGGGCAAAAGGAAGTGACAAGCAGGAAGCAAGAGGCTACACAAGGATACCCCCTGAGCCAGGATTCCCACCACGTGGATGGGGTGCCTTACATCCCCAAAGATGAATCAGCATCAACATGTAAACCCCAAAGGCAGAGAGCAAATGAGAAGCAATTGTTCCCAGTTCCCCTTCCATTTGCCAGCCTTCTCCCTCTCAATGGATGGAACAATTGTGGCCATGGAGTGGCACTTGCAGAAGAAGTTTTCAATCTGTTTAAATGCCACAGTGAGTCATACTTTGCCCCCATCTTCCTCTAATTACATTTCTCTTTGATGATTGAGGGTTAGAAATATTTAAGTCTTTCTAGGCGATCAAGGATAGGAGGCCAAAGCACCAACCGAACCACGTTCTTTACTCTCTTCTCAGGGGCCCTTTATGTCCTGAGACACCTCTCTGTGTCATGGTAACCCTATCTTTCGGCTGTGGCTGAAAGGAGGGAGCCGAAGAGATCCAGCCTTGGCAGAAGCCGCTCCTGGACCAGGAAGCTGGGGGGAGGTGGGGTGTTTCACCACACACCTGCCCTGGAGCTAAAAGTTGAAGAATGTGCAAGGGAAGACAGCCCAGATTCAAAATAAGCCATCCTCAGATGGGAGGGAGGGGAGAGTCAGGAACCTTCCCTAGGGAAGAAGAGGCTCTGCACAGCTTCAGGTCCAGGGTCCGGCTGTGGAGAGCAACCAGGGTGCAGAAGCAGATGCGCAGAAAGGCACGAGCACGGAGTCTTTACAGGCCTCTGAAATAACCAGACGTCCCCTTTCAGTAACAACTCCATGCCCCAATTCACTCCTGCCCAGGGGCTGCTTTTATTTATGTATTGGCTATTATTATTAATAATAAAATATGAATAATGAAATGCCTGTGAATAATTTATTTGAACCTGGAGGGAAGGGGCTGAGGTGGGGTCAGGAAGAAGTGGACCGTGAACCTCAGTCCCCTCTTCTGTGTAGGCCCCTCTTTCCCCAGCCCCCCTCAGCTCACTTTCTTTACTTCCCCTGGTCCTCACTTCACTTTGGCAGGTTGGAGGGAAGGCAGGGAGAAAAAGAGGCTTCAAGAAGGAATCACTCTCCTAAACTCCCCTTCTATGGCAGAAAATACATTCCACTCTGTCGTGCGATTCTGGGAGTAAGTATCAATGCCACAGGATAATGTTGGAAGTGATGTTTTGAACAAAGTTATTGTCCTCTGCTGATGTGTCCTGTGGGAAGGGGGACAGGGAGGTCTTAGCCCAGTGGGTGCACACGCACACACACGCAGAGTACAGACACAAACAGGGTCTAGGCACATAACCACACTGCATCCTCACAAGCACCCATAATTCTGACAGACATAGGCACTCATCTCCCAGCCACCAGCTCAAGCCCTCCCTGTGGCTGCAAGGAACACAGCGCTTTATTAGAACACTTCACAGGCACACCAAGCCCCTAGCCACATGGCAAGGAAGCTCTCCGTGTGAGTTTCTGTTGCATTCCTTCAACTTGGGCCTTTTATAGACCATCAGATAACACTGGATAATGTAAGCCCTGAACCGAGTTATGAACCCACTCTACTTACACAGGATTCCATCAAGCAAAGGCAGGAGTGTCTTAAAATGAAAGGATGAAGTTCCACAATTCTCAGAACTGTACTTGCTGTTAGGACTGGGCCCCAGATCGTCAAGGAGAGGTGTCCCGGCTGGACTCCGGGCCTGGGGCAGCGAACCTCGGGGCCTCCTCCGGCGCTGGAGAGCTTGGCGGCGTCGTGGCTGTACCAAACGGGCTGGGTCTCGGTTTTCAGGCAGCTAGGGTCTCATTTCCTTAACTAAATTTTTAACATATCGTCTAGCAACGTCACGTCAGCCGAGGGCTGAAAGAGAGAGAAACCCAAAACACCGGAAAGGGGCTGATGGGGACCAGCCCAGGGTCACACCATCAGCTCTGCCCCGCAGCAACCCGCGAGGGAGTGGGCGCGTTATCTTAATTGGTCGGGTTCCTGAAGCAGTGAAGAGGCTGTCCTGGAAACGCCAATGTAGGAGAGCATGGGGCGCAGGTAAATATCATTAAAAAGGAAAATCTGCTCTCCCCAATCAAGTTCACCACCAGCCTTGGCTCCCAGGGGCGGGGCTGCTCTAACCCAGCTCCCGCGCCAGCCACTCCCTCGCCGGCTCAGACGACGTCCCGGCCACCGCGGGCCGGATGGGGAACCCGGCGGAGTCCGGGCTGGGCGGCCGGACCCTCGGCCCTCTCCCGCAGACGTGCCGCCCAGCCTCGCACTTCGGACCGGGAAGTGCTGCAAACGAAGCCCGAGGGGGGCAGCGCACGCAGCGGGTGTCTGAGTCCGGCCGCAGCCCGGAGAGCGACTCGGGGACTTTATTTCTTTTGATGGTGGATTTACAAAAGAATAATAATAATAATATATATATTTTTTCAATTTGAACCAGTAAAGCAGACAAGGGCAAAATCAAGCCAGTCCCGCGTCCTGGCTCACCGGCCACCGCGCCCAGAAGCTGCCTGCTTCCCCGCCGGGCTAGCGGCCGACGCGCCCGGCTCCTACCTTCCTCCCGCCAGCCGCCAGCCGGTGCAGCCGCCGCGCTTCGGGGCGGGGAGGCGGTCCCGGACGGAAACACCCACCTCCAGCCTTCGCGGGCGGGCTGGGACGAGGGTCGGGCCCCGAATCTCTACGCCCCGGCCCCCCGGCGCGGCCCGACTGCTCCCTAGACCCGTCCTCCCCAGGTAGCTCGGTTGGCGGTAGACAGTTTTGCGGGAGGGCGAAGATTTGGGGTTGCTCTGGCAGGTTGGGGATGCGAGGAGGGAAAAAAGCAAAGAGCGCGCGCGAGAGAGAGAGAGCTCTTGTCTATAGATTTATCCACATAATATATATTTATGTAGCTTTTTTTTTCTCTCGACACTGATCAATGCGCACTCGGATCGCTGGGCGGACTTCCTCCAAGCCGGCTCGCTTTTTCGAGTCTAAATAAATAAATAAAGGGAACCAGATGGGAGGAAAAGAAGCGCCCATTCTACCTTCGCCGCCGCCCCGCCCGCCATCCCAGCCTTTGCTTCGCCCGCCTGGCGCCCTAATAGAGCGCAGCTCGGTGGCTAACGCCCCCCTACATACCCACGAGAAAATGAAAATCAATGTTTGTTTGTTTTGTTAAGAAAAGACAAAAAGTTGCACCTGCTGCTATGAACAAAAAGAACCCCCAAAACGCAAAAGAGGAGACCAGCAGCCCCGTTCCTAACTGGCACCCGCTCCCCGCGGCCGCCGGGCCCGGAATCTCAGCGCCTCCCGAAGAGCCATGCGCCTGGCGCTATTTATAGCCGGGGGCCGTCTCGGACTGTACCACCGCCGCTCGCCGGGGTCGCCGACGGGGGAGGCGCGGGGGGCCGGCGCCGCCCCACGCCGCCCGGCTCCCAGCCGCCGCCCGCCGCGCTGGGCGCCCCCCCCCCCCCACCCACGCCCGCCGCATCTCACCCTCTCCCGGCCCCGCGCCCCCCTCTGCCGCGCTCGCGCACTCGCCGCCCCCACCCCTGGTCTGACTGCGAACTTGAACCGGTCCAGCCTGTTTAAACGGAAAGGACAGAGATCCTGTCTGTTCAATGTAAAAAAAAAAAAAAATTAAAAAAAAAAATCAGATCAGACCGAAAGAGAGAGAGAAAGAGAGAGAGAGAAAAGAGGGAGGGAGAGAGGGGGAGAGGAGAGAGAGCGCGAGCGCGAGCGAGAGAAGAGAGGAGAAAGAGAGAGAGAGAGAGCAGAGAGCGAGCGCAGAGCGAGGTGTAGAGCAACCGAGGGGGAGAGAACCCGAGTGTGTGTGTGCGTGTGCGTGTGTGAGCGCGAGCGAGCTTGCGAGGGAGAGGAGCGAGAGAGTGCGAGCGAGAAAGAATAAAAGGAAAGAAGATTTTCTCTATGTATATAAAGATGGCCACGTTAGCAAACGGACAGGCTGACAACGCGAGCCTCAGTACCAGCGGGCTCGGCAGCAGCCCGGGCAGCGCCGGGCACATGAACGGATTAAGCCACAGCCCGGGGAACCCGTCGACCATTCCCATGAAGGACCACGATGCCATCAAGCTGTTCATTGGGCAGATCCCCCGCAACCTGGACGAGAAGGACCTCAAGCCCCTCTTCGAGGAGTTCGGCAAGATCTACGAGCTAACGGTTCTGAAGGACAGGTTCACAGGCATGCACAAAGGTGAGTGCACCTTTCCCTCCCAACTTTGCCGGGGAGAAGGAGCGGGCGGGCGGGCCGGGCGGCCGGCGACGAGCGAGCGAGCGAGCGAGCGGGAGACGGCGCGAGAAGGAGCCTCGGGCGGACGCCGAGGAGGGAGGCGCTCGGGCAGCGGAGACCGGGACTGGGGTGCATGGGGGAGCTGTTCGCCGGGGCAAGGCTGGATTTTGGGCAAGAAGATGATAGACGCGATTTCGTGAGGAGAGAAGCGGGAGCAGAAGAAGAGAAAGAGAGAGAGAGGATCGAGAGAAATCAGGGCTTGGCTTTTTGGGTCCAGCGACTTGAAAGATTGGGATGGGGACGGCTGCGCCGGCCGAGCCCGGGACGCTGAGCGGACTGGCGGGCTCTCCAGCCGGCCGGGGACCAAGGGTGCTGTCCACCGCCGTGGTGCTGAAAATGCTAACAGGAGATGGTCTTCTCCTTCTCCGCTCCGGGTCAGAGTAGCAGGGAGCGCAGCCGTCTAAAAAGAAGAAAGGTGACAAATTCAAAGAGATATTTTTATTTCGCTATCAATTTGACAGTAAACTCTCCCTGTCGAGCCGTGTGCCTGAATAATCCGGTTGTGGTTTGAGTGGTGGAGGAGGAGGTGGGGGGTTGGTTGTTTGAAGGAAAGAGGGACAAAACCTAAGGCAAGAATTAGCAAGGAACCAGCCATCCCCTAGGTAAAGTGGGGGGGGGGGTCAGGGAAGCCTGAATGATTCCCCTTCTCAAGAAATCAGGCAGGGCTTCGGGAAAAAATGTGTGTGTGAAAGATAGGCATTTTGGAGGGTGTATCCTAAATTATCCCAAACTCACCGTGCAGAGAGGTTTATAGTACATTATTTCTCTCCCTTGAAGCAATCATTGCTAGTGAGTGCTTGGAGGAGGGGGAATCAGAATGATCAAAGAATTAAAACCCAGCAACTTTTTAGGAAAGTGGTCATGGGAATTGTCTGCAGCCTGCCTGTTTTCTCCTTGTTTTATTATCTTTAAGGCAGAGCCCCAAACGTGTTCAGTTGTAGAATGTGTGTGGGTGGCTGGTGGGTGACGAAATTAGCCCAGTGCTTGCTCCCTAACAGTAATGTATAGGATGTGCAGCGGGAATTAATCGGGGCTGGAGCTGTGTGGGCAAGTTAAATGCTTTCTGAGAGAGATTGATCATCAGGCAGAGAGGGAGCACCGGGCTAAGGAAGTTGTAAGGGATGTGTATGGACGTTCCGTTTTTAATAAACAGTAGTGGGGAGAGCTGCTGAAGGTGCTGTGTTAGAGCTGGTGGTTTTAAAGATGAAAACACACACACGCACACGCACACCCACCCACACACAGAGAGCAGCCTCATCCCTGGCCACAAATGGGCTATGAACAGAGCTGATCCTCCGGCACATTAGGTGCAGAGTGCGGAGCTGTCTGGTTCTCTGAGCAGCAGTGGTTTTCACTATCACAACCTCCCTCCTTCTCCAGCCCTCCCTTCATCCGAATACTAAGCAGAGCTCCAAACTCTTCATAGTTGGAGTCCCAGAGAGCAGTTTTTATTGGCTTTAGCATCTTCCAGCTTGCCTGCTGAGGAGTAAATCTTAAAGTTAATGGCATGTTGATAGCACAAAAACACAACAGAATGGAAATATACTGGGTTTGTTGGGGTGGGGTGAGGGTGGGGGCTGTAATGGAAAGAGAAACCAACCTTTATTCAATATGGAGAAAATGTCTGTCTGTTCAGAAGAGAAACTGGAAAGGTGGAATGGGGAGGCAGTCTTCGAAATAATATTTGTTTTCCCCTTTTATCACCCTCCCTCTCAAGACAACCATATCTCTGTAGTTTTTCCCTTTCCAATCAAGCTCCCTAGAAGCTAGTCAAGGTTTGTATCAAACCTTTGTCATTTTAATATGTCCCCAGATTTTAAAATAGCAATAATGAAAATTAAAAAGCAGAGGTAGGGAAATTCTTTGCCCATCTTAATGATAGGCTCTTGTGGGGATTTGAGATTTTAAAGTTTAAAAAAATCAGAATCCACTAGAGGCAAAAAGACAGTTGTGAAGAACTGAGCTCCCTGTGAGATCTGGGTTGGAGCACTTTCTTTGCTTCTTTATTTTAAATGAAGATAATCTTAAACAATATTCCTTGGTTTTTTCTCAAGACCCCCCACTGGTATCATCACTCTGTTTCTGATGGTTTTGGGGGCTCCCTTTTATTATAGTAAAGATGTAGAATTATCATTATTTACATCAGGAAGGCAGAGAAGGTTAAGATATAGTGGTATCATATGTAACACATCATATATATATATATATACATATACATATACATATACATATACATATCATATATATATGTATATATATATACTACACATATCTGGCCAGAATTCCTAGGACAAGCCAAACTTCATTTTCTAAATAATTCCTCCCCTAAACTGGCTCAGTCGGGGGCAGGCAGGCCCTTTGGCTCTGGGTGCCTCGTTGTCAAAGCTCACCCTTCAGAGCCTGAGCATATATTTTTCCCTGTGAAACTTCCTGCCTCTCCATCCCTTGGATTTTTATAGGCAAGGTTGGGCCACAATGTCCCTAACAGTGCCTGGAAGATCCGAGAGAGCTGAATAAATGAGACAATTTCCAAGGGCTGGTTTATTCAGTCTTAGAAGAGTTTGAACTCTTCCTTCAGTGATACAGCCTGATTTATTAGCTAATCCTGGTAAAATAAGCCTCCGGCCACCTTAAAAAATTACTCGCTTGCCATTGGTGATTAATTACTGTTAAGTCAAAAAGCATGATGAGGCTTGAAGAATGAGAGTTGCATTTGGCTTCTAGATTTCCCCCAACTCTGAATTATAACATGAGGCTAGAGATAGAAACGTGCCTTTGTTAAGCCTGGTTTCAGGGTATATTTGTGGCTTTTTCTTTCCCCTGCTTGAATTTCTAACTTCTAATGAATCAGACTGGGATAAAATTGAGAGACATGATAGGATACCGGCCTCCAGTGTGGATGGAATAAGTATATTATTGGTTAAGAGAAGAAGAAAAAAATAAGTAAAAATTAAATTAAGTGCATGAGATTTCAGGTGGGTATCCATTTGTTGGCCACCTGCCATCTCTGGTAACTAAAGAAGGAAAGAGTTCTAAGGGTTAATGGAATACCTGCCATGCGTAGAGTGAACCTTAAAAGGCAATTACTCCAGTCAAATTGGGAGTCTGGAGGAGGGAGTAGGTGGGTGTTGTGGAGCAAACTCAGCCGTATCAGAGAAAGGCTGTTGGGCTGGGGAGGCAGCAAATAGCAGTTGTGGACTGGGGTGATTACTGTAAAGGTAAATTCACCCCCCTGGAGACCAGAAAGCAAATGGGCAAAGGGAGATCTGGGTGCCAGGCAGAGTGAGAAAGAAAGAAAAAAAGCCCAGAACAATTTGAAGAAACAACACCTAGAAAAGACAATCCAGTTTAATGCAAACTCTCCCAGTCAACTCAGAGCCTCCTTTTCTCCCCCGTTAAAAGCACTTTGAGAAAGATTGTTTTTCCAGGCTCCAAAGAGAAAGACATTGTGCTACTGATTAAAGAAGAGAGAGGTAAACTCCCGGGGTAGCAGCAAAAGTGAGCTGAGGACCAATGTTGCCTCTTCCTGTAGAAATTTTTTCCTTTGGAGGAAGAAACAGGTCACCCACTAGTCTAATTCTTCCCTTCTCTCACTTTTTATTTATTTCTCTTTTTTTCCTTGTATTTTCTGGAGAGGAGAGGCAGGACTGAAAATACATACGCACACATAGTCATGACTGTTAACACACACACATGCAGTTAGTGGATCACACATGAACAAGCCACAATCCATTCATAACTTTGGTTTTGTCTAGCAGGATAGGAGGCAGCAAAGACTGAGTTACTGGGAGACATAAAGACTAGTGCTCTCTGGATAGCCATATTATAATGCATTATCTTTGAAGTCATTTAAGTCCAATTTAAGTGGTATTTAGTATAATATTTATGAATTAATGTAATCTAAACATAGGGCTGTCCCCAAAGGTTTAAACAGCCTTTACTACTGATCTGTGCTTGTTCCCAGAGCCTGCAATGCATTTTAATCTAAACAGCCAAGTCCTCATCACAGTCCCTCTTGTTAACTAGTCAGAACAGATCTGTGGCCTGGATAACCCTTCTGCATTGAGATTTTCCTCAACTACATGGAGGAAAATATACTCTACTAGCAGCCCCGGGGGCTGCCAATCCGGGAGCCACAGCTTCAGGGAGTTCAACCCCTCATACTTTCATACTACATCCAGAGGGAGGGTGGGGACAGAGTAATGGAACCTTCTGTGAATTGAGCTTGGAGAGTATATCATTTTGAAATATACTCATCATCAGGTTCACAACCTCTCATTTCAATGGTATCTGAGTAGGAAATTCCTCAAGCCCCTTGATTTGAAGTGCAACTGGGGGAAAGGGAAAGAGCAAGGGTTATGATTATGTTTGGGTGATTTGTGACCAGCTTCATAAAATTATGTCTCATAGTTTTGTGTAAGATGTAACAAAATCACCGAGTTTCCGCTGCTTGACTTTAGCTGAGAGAGCTCATTGTTGTTTTTTTCCCGAGGTAGGTGAATTAAAGCCAGTGAGGTTCTATCTGATTTCTGTTTTCAAATGAGTCTAAGACACAGGGAAGCCAAAGTATCAGCATGGTCATCAGCTCAATTAAGATGAACTTAAAAAAAAAAAAACACTTTGGAAAAATAAAAATTCTGTTCTGTCCAGGGAAAGACACTGGCAGAGTGGCTGGACACACACATCTAGCTTTTAAAAGAAAGATTTGCCTTGTGAGAAAGAGATGGAAAATGATAGTGCTGTAATAAAAAAAGAAGAAAAACATTTTAAAAAATAAGTTTCACTAAAGGAAATTAGCAATAGTAATCATTGCAAAGTTAAAATAAATCTAAACCACAGCCCCTTTTTTAAAAACCTCCAAATTCCAGATGTTGCTAAGTATTCTATTTAGGAGTAAAGAAAAA